AAATGTTTTGAGAATGATGAGGGCAATGAATGTACAAATGTGCTTTACACACTTGTTGTATGTATGGATTGTGATAAGAGTTGTATGAGCCCGTAATAAAATGATTAAAAAATATTTTAAAAGAGTTTAATATAAAAAAAATTATGTCATGTCTAAAATCTTGTTGTTAGATACCAGTAAAATTCAAACACATTGATTCTTCTTTGGTCTTCCTTGTTCAGTATCCAGCTTTCACATGCAAATAATCATTTGAAAATCTTGTAGCCTTACTTTACGATCTTTTTGATTACCTTTACATGTATGTACATATGTGCATGTGTTCATGTATAGTCTACATGCAAAATGAATGCTAGTATGGAGAAAACTTACTTAATTCCTTCATCCATTAGTTCTATAGTTATTTGTGTGAGGCTTAAGTCAATTGTCCTCGTTTTAATATTTGATCACTTTTAGTATGAAAAAATTATCTCTTAATATATTTACATAATCAGGGATTTTTGTTATTATTGTTAGGTGCCATTGAGTCAGTTCTGAGTCGTAGTGACCTTACGTACCACAGAGTAAAGCACTGCCCAGTCCTGTGCCATCCTCATAGCCGTTCCCATACTCGAGCCATTGCTGCAGCCACAGGGTTAGTCCATCTTCTTGAGGGCCTTCCTCTTTTTGTACTGCTTCTCTGTTACCAAGCATGATGTCCTCCCGGGACTGGTCTCTCTGATAACATGTCCAAAGTAAGTAAGATACAAATCTCGCCACTCTTGTGCCTCGGAGGAGCACTCTGCCCATACTCTTCTTCCAGGACAGAGTTGTTTGTCCTTTCAGTGGTGCGTGTACCTTCAGTATTCTCCAGCACCATAGTTCAAAGGCATCAATTCTTCGTTGGTCTTTATTCAGTGTTCAACTTTAACAGGCATATAAGGCAATTGAAAATACCATGGCTTGCTATTTTCATGTGATATCAAGCATTGATTTTCATGTAAATATAAATATTCAAAGTATGTCTTTACAACAGATCCTTCTCATCTTTTTTCTAAAACCATTTTTGGAGCTAATACAGATATCATTTTATATTTCAATCACATCAAGCAGTATTATACAAGTGCTACCACAATCAGTATGAAAACATTCTCTTCCTTCTTGAATGCCTTGACATCAGCTCCCTTTTACTCCTACCCCCTAATATCCTTATCATTTTTATTAAATGTAGATATTCAACTTTCAGTTTATTACTGTATAGTTACCTGTAAATTAGAAATGGTTTACATGTATATTTTCTGTTGAATGCACAGTTGCACTTTGAGGAAGTTCTTTTAGCATCTCTATTTAATT